GGGCTCCACAGCCACCTACTGACCCACCGCCAAGACACCACATCTGGAGGACCATTATCCTCAACCTACAAGGAATCACCTAATTAAGTACAAACCTTCAAAGGGACACACCTGCCCAATGGAAGAAAAGGAGGTGGGGAAACTTATCTCAAGATATAAGTTTCCCCTCCTTGTTTCGGTCAGTTTTGAACTATAATGTGTGTATACATACATCTATCTGTTTCTCTGTGTTTATATATCAACTAAGACAGGGCTTCTTAAACTTTTTCCTCTCGCAACTCCTTTCTGCCAGAAAAAAGTTGCATGACCCCTAGTATATAGGTATAGAAAATAGAAAATAAGTATAAAATCCAAACTATTACTGATAACTAGTCAGCATTTGCAAAGATTGCTGAACAGGCTGATTTTCCTTTTTGTGGAGTACAGCTGAAGCCTTTCCTGCAGAATTAACTATAAATGCTGCAGGTTGTTGATAACAGATTGGTGTTAATGAATGGCACTCAGAAACCTTTTAAAGTTGCCAAATTTCTGGTGACCCCAGCATTGAACTAAGGCAGTGGTTCTCAACCTGTGGGTCCCCAGGTGTTTTGGCCTACAACTTCCAGAAATCCCGGCCAGTTAACCAGCTGTTAGGATTTCTGGGAGTTGAAGGCCAAAACATCTGGGGACCCACAGGTTGAGAACAACTGAACTAAGGGGACCCCATTTGGTGTCGGACCCACAGTTTAAGAGCCAGTGATCTTGGGGGTTTTGTAGTCAGGATTTAGCTAGAGGGCTTTCTGCCTTCCACACAAACCTTCAAAGGGTACTCTCATGCCCAGTAGAAGAAGCAAGAGGAGGGGAAAGTTATCTCAGGAGAGGCACAATGGCTGCGGCCAATTTCAAACTATAATGTTTCTCCATGTGTATACCGGTCTCTGTGTTTATATATAATCTATGATGACCCTATCTTGGGGTTTTCTTGTCAGGATTTATTCAGTGGGGTTTTCTGCCTTTCTACCTTCTGTACAAACCTTCAAAAGGGAAGAAACAGTGCTGAGGAAACGTACCTCTGGAGAAGCACAAAGGCTGCAGGCAATTTTAAACTATAATGTCTCTCTGTGTGTCTACACTGCAGCCATGGGGAAACTTCAGCCCTCCAGGTGTTTTGGACTTATTTGTTTTGGAGCACAACATATAAATGGCAAACATTCAAAGCCGGACAAAAATAGACTTTGTGCGTACATAAACATTAACATCATTTATTTCGACGTTAAACTCCATTGTTTAAACAGTCTCAATCATCCACATCAAATCTGGTTGGCATAATAATAATATAATAAATAATAATAAACTTTATTTATACCCCACCACCATCTCCCCAAAGGGGACTCGGAGCGGCTTACGTGAGGCCAAGACCACCGATACATTACAGCAAAATAAAATGTAAACAACAAAAATAAGATCACAATAAAATAAATAAGCCATTCAAGTAAAATAAACAGTGCAAAATAACATAATAGAAAATCAAAGACAGTGGGCGGCCAAATGCACAACATAAAATGATAAAACTCTGGATGAAATAGCAATGAAAAAAGTATATTTGTGGGGGAGGCTCTCGTAGGGGACGGAACAGTAGAATTAGACTTTCAATAAGGTGAGGGGGGGGGGGAAGTGCAATATGAGGGAAACACTTTGGGTGAAACAACAGGAAAGGAATATATGGTCACTCTCCAAAGGCACTGTTTCCTATTGCTGCCTTATTGCACTGTCCCAAAGGCTTGGTCCCTCAGCCAAGTTTTCATCATTCTTCTGAAGAACAGGAGGGAAGGGGCTGCTCTAATCTCACCTGGAAGGGAGTTCCAAAGTTGAGGGGCAATCACTGAGAAGGCCCCCTCTCTCATCCCTGCCTGTCATGCCTGTGACAGTGGTGGGACAGAAAGCAGGGCCTCCCCGGAGGATCTCAATTTCTGTGATGGTTCATAGAGGGAGATGCGTTTGGACAGCTAAACTGGGCAGGGGCTATTTAGGGCTTTATAGGTTATGCCAGCTTCAACTCCCAGAAATCCCAGCAAGCTTATCTGCAGCTAGGAACTGTGGAAGTTGAAGTCCAATCACTAGGAGGGCCAAGGTTTGCCCATGCCTCGTCCCCAGGTATCTCTGTGTGTGTTTATATATAACACTATGTAACAATTTAAAAAAAAAATCTGTTCCTGGTTTGAAAAAGTTATTTCCTGTTTAATTGTGCACAACCTATTTTGAAAATAGTTGTTATACTCCAGAAATTCTGTTTTCATAACAGCCACAAACTATGTTGAAGTGTATTGTTGAAGGCTTTCATGGCTGGAATCACTGGGTTGTTGTAGGTTTTTCAGGCTATATGGCCATGTTCTAGAAGCTGGAATCACTACAACATGGCCATATAGCCCGAAAAACCGACAACAACCCTATGTTGAATTGGTTGAGACTCTATGAGATATTCATTGAAAAACTATAGCAAAATGTGCTGCTGGGTGTTCCGCAGAAATAAAGTTTTTGCAGTGTAATAAACCTTTGCCATGTGACAGTGTTTCTCAACCTGGGGGTTGGGACCCCGGGGGGGGGGGTCATTCGGAAGGTTTCAGAGGGGTTGCCAAAGACCATCAGAAAACACATATTTCTGATGGTCTTAGGAACCCTTTTGGTAGAGAAGACTAAAGATCTCTCTGCCTATCCTTCTCTTCTTCTTCTTCTTCTTCTTTTTTTTTTTGATTGTAGGTGAACTACAAATCCCAGCAACTACAACTCTGAAAATGTCAAGGACTATTTTCTCCAAACTCCACTGGTGTTCACATTTGGGCATATTGCGTATTCATGCCAAGTTTGGTCCAGATCCATCATCGTTTGAGTCCACAGTGCTCTCTGGATGTAGGCGAACTACAACTCCAAAACTCAAGGTCAATGCCCACCAAACCCTTCCAGTATTTTCTGTTGGTCATGGGGGTTCTGTGTGGGAAGTTTGGCTCAATTCTATAGTTGGTGGAGTTCAGAATGCTCTTTGATTGTAGGTGAACTATAAATCCCAGCAACTACAACTCCCAAATGACAATATTAACCCCACTCCCAACCCCACCAGTATTCAAATTTGGGCATATCCGGTATTTGTGCCAAATTTGGTCCAGTGAATGAAAATACATCCTGCACACCAGGTATTTACATTGCAATTCATAACAGTAGCAAAATTACAGTTATGAAGTCGCAATGAAAATAATTCTGTGGTGGTGGTGGTGGGGTCACCACAACATGAGGAACTGTCTTAAGGGGTCGTGGCATTAGGAAGGTTGAGAACCACTGATCTAGGGTGTCAGGATTTATCCAGAAGGGTTTCCTGCTTTCTCTTCCTTCCACAGAAACCTTCAAAGGGACTCTCATGCCCAGTGGAAGAAACAAGAGGAAGGGAAACCTCCCTCAGGAGAGGCACAGTGGCTACAATCAATTCTAAACTGTAATGTCTCTTTATGTATATACAGGTGTCTGTGTCTGCATTTATATATAATCTGTGGCCACCCTAAAGCAACCCTGTCATGGGGGTTTCTCATCAGAATTTCTCCAAAGAGACTTTCTGCTTTTCTCTACCTTCCACACACACGAATTTACTTGAGGAGAGGCACAAAGGTTGCAGTCAATTTTAAACTATATTGTGTGTTTGTGTATGTGTGTGTGTGTCTAGGTCTCTGTGTTTATATATAACCTAGATCAGCGTTTCCCAACCTGAGAGTCAGGACCCTTGGGGGGGGGGGGAAGTTGCGAGGGGGGTGTCAGAAGGGTCACCAAAGATCATCACAAAACACAGTATTTTCTGTTGGTCCTGGGGGTTCTGTGTGGGAAATTTGGCCCAATTCTATCATTGGTGGGGTTCAGAATGCTCTTTCATTGTAGGTAAACTATAAATCCCAGCAACTACAACTCCCAAATGTCAAGGTCTATTTCCCAAACTCCACCAGTGTTCACATTTGGGCATATTGAGTATTTGTGCCAAGTTTGCTCCAGATCCATCATTGTTTGAGTCCACAGTGCTCTCTGGATATAGGTGAACTACAACTCCAAAACTCAAGGTCAATGCCCACCAAAACCTTCCAGTATTTTCTGTTGGTCATGGGAGTTCTGTGTGCCAAGTTTGGTTTAGTTCCATCATTGGTGAAGTTCAGAATGCTCTTTGATTGTAAAAGTATAAATCCCAGCAACTACAACTCCCAAATGACAAAATAACCCCCCGCCCCGCCCCAAACCCACCAATATACAAATTTGGGCGTATTGGGTATTTGTGCCAAATTTGGTCAGTGAATGAAAATACATCCTGCATATCAGATATTTACATTAGATTCATAACAGTAGCAAAATTACAGTTATGAAGTAGCAACTAAAGTAATGTTATGGTTGGGAGTCACCACAACATAAGGAACTGTATGAAGGGGTCGTGGCATTAGGAAGGTTGAGAACCACTGATCCAGAGTAACCAATGCAATAAAGCTTGAGCTGGGAAAGGGCAGGGAAAGTACAGTTGGCCCTGGGTATATTTTGGAAGCAATCTTCAGATAATTTCTAGATCAGGGGTCCCCAAACTAAGGCCCACGGACCAGGTGGGGCCCTCAAAGGTCCCTTACCCAACCCCAGTCCTAAATTTTATTATGCCATTTGCAGGATAGTATCCAGAGCAGCGGCTCTCAGGCCCTCTCCACTCTTCCTCCACCTAACCATTCAAGACCACGGAAGAAACCAAAGGAGGAAGAAACTTCCCATGTGCCGAGCCAGGCGCAAACACTGCCAGCAACTGTGATGCGAAGGGTCGGTAGTGGGGCAGCCACCCTTTCCCCTGCTACCTTCCTAACTCGACACCATGGTGAGGCGCTACTTCATTACCGGGGGACAGACCCTGCGCCAAGAGGACCCCCCCCCACCCCCACCACCTCCCCCCAGCTCTAAAACAAACGGCTAAGGCGCCGCCCCACTGCCCCCCCCCCCTTGGTGTCCCCCTCGCTCACCCAGGACCACGGCCACGACGGTGCTGATGAGGAGCCAGTTGTTCTGGAGGAAGCGCCTGCAGTCGCAGCCGGCGTCCTTCTTGTCGGAGGGCTCCTTCCCCATGGCGGGTCCTGTCCCCCTGCCTTGAGGCGGCGTTTAGAAGGCTCGGGGCAACGGCTCTGCCGGTCTCCTTCCTTCCTTCCTTCCTCCTCCTCCTCCTCGTCTCTCTGCGGTGCTGCTGCTGCTTCGGAGGCAAAGAACGGGAGAGAGAGAGAGAGATGGAGAAGGAGGCTGACCTGCGCCTCTGCCTCGGTGTCTGTCTCTCTCTCTCTCCCCCAGTCACGCACGAAGGCAGCCCGCCCTCCTTGGCACGGGCTGGGACTTCCACGCCGCCCTCTCCTCGGGATTTGGAGGGGGGGGGGGATGACTCATGACTGTCTCAGGTGGAAGCAGCTCCACACATCCATCACTTCCATGGCCAGGGCTCCACCAAAGACCAGCCAGGCCTGGGCAAACTTCGCCCCTCCAGGTGTTTTGGAATTCAACTCCCACAATTCCTCTATCTGTCTGTCTGTCTGTCTGTCTGTCTGTCTGTCTGTCTGTCTGTCTATCTATCCTATTTAAAAGATTGTGTCCTCCTCCCAACCACTAGCGAGAGCACCATACTCAGTAACATACCTAGTGTATGTGTAATTTAATAATATATATATATATAATAGTGTGTGGTGTGTGTTGTGAGCTGTAGTGTGATGTGTTGCTGCATTGTCATTCTCAACACTAGTGTTTTGTGCTAATATATAACTAATATATATATATAGGTCTCTCCAAGTGATGTTCGCAGCCAGGATTTTTTTCGGGGGGTGAATTTGATTCGGGGGGGGGGGGCTGAGTCTGAGTGAAAGAGGGTCTACCCTAGCAAACCTTTTGTATCATTACCCCAATACCCCCATGCATATGCGATATATTGAGTATGGTGATCAGATCATGATATGAATAAACATAACAGTTTAAATAATGCACCAGTAAGGCCTTTTCGCGAACCACCATGAGAATTTCGGGCTACATGCCTGATGCCCACCAAACCCTTCCAGTTTTTTCTGTTAGTCATGTGAGTTCTGTGTGGGAGAACTGTGTGCCAAGTTTGGTTATTTCCATAGATAGATATATATATATAGAGAGGGGGGGGGTCTTCCAAGTGATGTTGCAGGAGACAGATTGAGCTGTTTTTCTTATATTTCCATATATATAGATAGTTATGCATATGGATATGGATATAGATGTATATAATGTTTTCATATATATAGTTATAAAACATTAAAAGGTAAAGGTTGCCCCCTGACATTAAGTCCAGTCGTGTCCAACTCTGGGGTGTGAAAATGTTTTCATATTTATTTATTTAAATAATTTAAATAAATAAATAACATAAGAAAAATAGCTCGATTGTGTCTCCTGCAACATCATATCTATATCAGTGATTCTCAACCTGGGGTCCCCAGATGTTTTGGCCTTCAACTCCCAGAAATCCTAACAGCTGGTAAACTGGCTGGGATTTCTGGGAGCTGTAGGCCAAAACACCTGGGGATCCACAGGTTGAGAACCACTTGTTATATACACTATCTCTCTCTCTCTCTCTCTCTCTCTCTCTATATATATATATATATAGAGAGAGAGAGAGAGAGAGAGAGGGTCCCCCAAGTGATGTTACAGGAGCTAGATGGAGCTGTTTTTTTATATTTTCATATATATATATATATATATATATATATAATTTTTTCATATATGTAGTTATAACACACACACACACATATATATATGTGTGTGTTTTCATATATGTAGTTATAAAACACACACACACACACATATAATGTGTGTGTATATATCTATATCTATCTATGTATATATAATGAGAAAGACAGCTCCATTGTGTCTCCTGCAGCATCACTTGGGAGACTATATATCCCCCCTCTCTAATATATATATATAGATATATATATATAGGGGGGGTCTCCCGAGTGATGTTGCAGGAGACAGGTGGAGCTATTTGTCTTCTATTTTCATATACTTGTGCTACATGAACACCCCAATCCCCTCCCTTCAGACTCCCTCCCTTTTAAATCCGTTAATTTTGATATACTCTTGTCTTGATGTTCTGGAAATGATGCACTTGTTTTAGGGTTTTAGAGTTTAAGGTTTTAAAGTATTGAAGTTTTAAAGTTTTAAATCTCTCGATCCTAAGACCTGATATGTTTGCGCGGGACTGTGTCCCTGTTCTCATGAGCTGGTCATTGACCGTAATAAAGTGAACTTGATCTATCTATCTATCTATCTATCTATCTATCTATCTATCTATCTATCTATCTATCTATCTATCTATCTATAATGTTTGGATGGTTCAGTAGACACAAACTTTGTTCCATGCACAAAATTAGTAAAAACATTGTGTATAACATTACACCCAGACTATGTATATAAGGTGTCTATGAATATCATAAATGTCTTGTTTACACTTGAGTCCCATCTCCAAGATATCTCTGTTGGAGATCTTGATTTAAGGAGCAAACACACCAATGACTTGGAGAAAGGAAAGGTGGCTTTATAGTAGGAACTCAATTCTAAAATTACTCTGGGAGCTCATCTAAACCCTGTTTCTCCTGCCCACATTACTCTTAATTTCTAAGTGTTGTTGCAAAAATCCCATGGGATGTAGGTCGCCCAACCAGGGCTCAAAATAAGACATTTCTAAGGGTGCCTCTACTCTGCAGAATTGATGCAGTCAGATACAACTTTAACTGCCATGGCTCATTGTTATGCCATCCTGGGATTTGTAATTGGAAAGGCACCAAGACTCTTTGGCAGAGAAGGCTGGAGACCTTGTAAAACTACAACCCCCATAATTCCATAGCATTGAGCCATAGCAGTTAAGATTATGTCAAGCCGCATTCATATTACAATGGAGATGCACCCAGAGTCTCATGGCTGCTGTGTGTGCATGTTGTCTTGTGAAGAAAACATTATTTTTCTTTCCAACCCCACACTCACTTGCGTGAATAATGAGGGAAATAATTTCCAGGAAAAAAACTCACCTGCTGTGCATCACCATGAGAATGAAATACAAATTGCATCTTGTTCAAGAGGGACCAAACAAATGTTGCAGAATGCTCCTTCTCTGAGGGATTTGGGATTTATGGAAAATCACGTTGCTAGACAAAAGGCACAGCTGAAGCCACATAGAATGCTTACAGTGATGAACGGAATAAATATAGGTGCAAGGATGATTTGCATTTCACTTTGCCCCTGGCATGCCAAGCACAGGGGACAACTGGAAGACAATTCCAGATGGTCAGCTGCCAGAGAGACTTGCTTATCATAATTGTGAGCCTGGCTGCGGATGATTGAATCACTCTAAGCAGGATGTCACGAACCAAAGTCCAGTTGCATATGTGTAAACATTTCCCGACATGGGTTTATTTATAGTGAGAAGTAAAGAAAGTTAGAGAGGAGGTCTATTAGGAATTTCTAGTTTTCCTGCACAACTCTATGGTCATTATATGAGGCCCCCTGGTGGTGCAGCGGGTTAAATCGCTGAGCTGCTGAACTTGCTGATAAAAGGTTGGCAGTTTGAATCCAGGGAGCAGGGTGAGTTCCCACTGTTGGCCTAGCTTCTGCCAACCTAGCAGTTCGGGAACATGCAAATGTGAGTAGATCAATAGGTACCACTTCTGCTGGCAGGTAACAGTGTTTCATGCAGTCATGCTGGCCACATGACCTTGGAGGCGTCTATGGGTAATGCCAGCTCTTCGGCTTAGAAAGAGCACCCCCCCCCCAAGAGTCGGACACAACTAGACTTAATGTCGGGAAACGTTTATGTGCTGTCGCACGCTGGGCCTGTGCATAAAACTGTAGACAGGACATAACTTCTGTGTGCCCAACGGGACTGCCTCAGATTAAAGGCCCTTGGATTTCCTTAAAACAGAGTCTTTAGATTGCTTAAAGGTTCAACAAAGTTCTTTATTAATGAAGACAAACAGGTACTTTAAGGCTTCCTTAACAGTCTATTGGCTCTCTCTCAATCTTGTCCACAGGGAACAGGCACTATCTTCATAATTGTAACTAATGGGGAAATCCTAAACTTCTAATCTGGGCAGTCTGTCTTTGCCTCTGTTGGCGTGGAGCCCCTGCACCTGGTACCAACTGCTTCTGGCTTCCGTGAGTGACCCTTACCAAGCAGAGCTTTGTAGACTTCCAGGGGAAAAGAAGGAATTCAGGTTTCGGTGATGGCTGGCTGAAGTCCCTCAGCAAAGGAGCTGTAAGGCTGTATGATCCTCGGCCAAGCTGTGGGTTGTATATCTCCCCGGCCAAGCTGTAGAAGACGAAGCTTTCTACAGGAGCTCTTGGTATTATGTCCTGTGTGAAAAGCTTCTCAGTGTGGACTGAACCCAAAATGGCTCCTATTCCCTCAAAAAACCCAAAAAGGGGCGGGACCAGGGAACCTAACTATAATTGACAGGTGGCTTGCCCTATGATTGCAGCCAAAAGAAGCCACCTATCTGCAGAGTCCCTGAAACTTAGGACTATAACAAACATTAAATGCAAAGCAAACAAAATTGGAGCTCCTGGTGCAGTTGTACCTGCACAGTTTACTTTTACCTTCACATCTCCATTGTCACTATAATGCAGATTGTATTGCATTATATAGTCATATAATCCAGTTCAATGCAGTTAAACTGCGTTATATGAGTCTACATTGACCTTATAATGTAGTTCAATCTGCATTATAATGCCAGTGTAGATGTTGCTTTTTTACATCTACACCAAAGCTAGAACTCATGTGGTCATTCCGATATTGTTGGACTATAACTTCCAACATTTCTTGGGAATGGTAATGATGGTCAGGGTTGCTGGGTGTCATAGGTAAAGGTAAAGGTTTTCCCCTGACATTAAGTCCAGTCGTGTCCAACTCTGGGGTGGTGCTCATCTCCATTTCTAAGTCGAAGAGCCAGAGTTGGCCGTAGACACCTCCAAGGTCATGTGGCCAGCATGACTGCATGGAGCGCCATTACCTTCCCGCCGGAGCAGTACCTATTGATCTACTCACATTTGCATGTTTTTGAACTGCTAGGTTGGCAGAAGCTGGGACTAACAGCGGAAGCTCACGCCGCTCCCTGGATTCAAACCTGTGACCTTTTGGTCAACAAGCTCAGCAGCTCAGCGGTTTAACCCACTGTACCACTGGGGGCTCCCACCGGGGCCTGAGAGTCATAGTCTGGATATATCTGGAAAGTTGCTATAGATGGATACTGTTATGCTTAACTTCCTTTCAAATACCTCTTTCATTGACCATTCTCTCTCTCTCTCTCTCTGTCAGAACAAATAGTAAAAACCATCATCATTTATTTATTTACGATATTTATTTCCCGCCCTTCTCATCCCGAAGGGGACTCAGGGCAGCTTACATAATTGCCATTATTCAATGCCCA